GGTAATTAAATTAAATGTAATTATTACAAAAACGAATATAATAGAAAATGAATCAATACTTCAAATGTCAATAAATTCACCTCATTCAAATAATAAGAATTCATTACATTGGATCGGTTAATTATTAAATCAGAATCGATTAATGAAACCTCAGTTATTGCTCGTAAATGTTTAACGACTACAGATCTTAATCAGGGTGAAATATTAAACGATTGCAAAAATATCGAAAATGACATAAACTTTACTCAAATAACCAGCTTATCGACTTTACCTAAATCTTTAAAATTTCTCTATTGCTATGAATCTCAAATAACTATGATACCAATTTTACCCAATACATTAATTAATACATCTCTACTCAAATCACTAGTTTGCCAACTCCTTTACAGAATTCAACGATAGTAAATCCATTAAAATATCTATGATTAGTATCGCGGCAAACAATTAGTAAACAGGAAATATATGTTATTAAATAATTCAATTTAAAATTTATATCATATTCTAATAAGATCGGCAAGATCGGCAAACAATTTTTTTTATTACAAAAAAAAAAAAAAACAGGCGAATTTGCCTGCAAACAACTACAATTTAAAGGGATAAAGAAATGAATAATCGAATAAAAAATTTTTTTGCCTTTTTCTTTAGTGTGTTATAAATTAAGGAAAAAAATATATTTTAAAAGTGTAGCTTTTCGCTTTAATTGATAAAATACCAACGAGATATAGCTGGTTTTTGCTTTTGTTAAAATACCAACAAGATATAGCTGGCTTTTTGCTTTTGCTCGTTAAAATACCAACAAGATATAGCTGTTTTTTTGCAAGCGTTTTGAATTTGAATCCATGAAATAATGGATTTTGTTTGTATTTTAAAAAAAAATATTCCTTTTTTGATAAATTATAGGAGTTCATTTTAAATAGATTGAATAAATTATAGATTGGATAATTTGAGACATTTGATGATTTATTAAAGATTTTAGTTCGAAAAGTGAATTTTTTAGCAAAAGCCGTGAAGAATTTGTCTATTTTTAGCTAACTTACAATAATCTTTTTTTATGTTTTGTTTATTATATATTAGAATGTATGTGCAACTTTGAGGCTTTTTTTGTATTTGACTGTCGACAGAAAGTTTCCAAGTAAAAATTTCACTTCACGTGACCGGTGATATCAGATATAACGGTAGAAAATATTTTTTTTATCACCAAAAAAAAAAGAAAAAACCAATTAAATTATAAAACGCAATTACCAAAACCATTCTTGAATCCTATTATTAAATATACTATGCAAGAACTGAAGTTGAACAAACGAAATTAAAAATAGTAAATTTAAAAAAATAAATAAACATGTTTTTATGATCTGAAGTACAGTAATTTTAAAGGTAAATAATTTATTGATATATTCATACATTATATAATTCACTTTATTTATGTTTGTCAAAAATGATTATGATTCATTGGTTTTTATAGAATTATCTCGTCCTTAAGGTTGATCTATTTTAACCAACGATAATTATTAATAGTCTCATCAAGAAACGAAACCGATTACAAATTGGATTAAACGGAACTTACCGCGAAAAATTCCTTTAAACTGAACAACCAACCAGCGTACTTTTGGACGACATGCTTCATCTTAAGTCGTTCGAAAAAGCTTTTTATTGGTAGCAAAAAATGCGCAATATCAACTTGCACTTTTATAATGGTGTGAGTGGATTAAGCAGAAAATTTTCTTCCGAGACAACAGTTTCTCCATCTCCTTCTCTGGAAGATGCTCGATCTCACCATTACGACCCGTTACGCTTCTCCTTTCGAACTACGTCGTCAAAAAGGATATCATCACCAGATATTGGGGAAATCTATTTCGACTAACGATAATTATTAACTGTCTCATCAAAAAAACGAAACCGATTACAAAATTGGATTAAACGGAACTTACCCGAAAAATTACTTTCATCTAAACAACCAGCCAGCGTAAATTCGGACGACATTTTTCATCCTAAGTCGTATGGCATGAGCGAATTTTCCGCAAAATCGAAACTCATATCGAGAACTGGAGACTCAACTTCTTGTAAGCTGCCAGTTTTTCTTACAAGAAAATCAACACACCTAAAAAATGAATTCACTTGAACAATTTCACCACGCACTATATACATACGAACTGGCCCAAGAAAGAAAAAGAGTTTTTCTTTGCCAGTTCGTATGTATATAGGGTGTGGTGAAATCAAGTGAATTCATTTTTTTAGTGTGTTGAATTTCTTGTAAGAAAAGGAGAAAGAGTTTTCTTTGCCAGTTTTCTGCCATAAATATAAACGGCGAAAATAACTTCCGATACGACAGAATTTGCCGTTTTCCCACGCGTATATCGAGTTGTGAATCTTATTCTTCAGGAAGATCCTCGTTGAATTTTACTGTAAATATGTTCACGTTTTCGACCTGCTGAGAAAGAAATAGTCTTGTTTGGGAGAATATACTGTCGTCAAGAGCTAACAGAAGCAAGCCTTGGTTTTTGTAAACGGTAAGAGCGTAAGAGTTCTGCAGCGCGATGACCGTTATGGAATATTACGGCCACATGGTATCGTTTTTCGGTCCCATTTACGTAGAAATGGTCGAGCAAAGTGATTTCACATTTTTGGTGGTTTTTTTAGGTTCTGAAAGGCGATTATATAATGTGATTGAAAAGCTGGAGAAGGAGACCTTATCCACAATTTTTGGGGCAGAATATTGATAATATTTATAAAGAAATTTTTCTATAACTCGATCAGCAATTAAATAAAATAAAATTCACATAGTAACATGATCGAAATGATCATGCCAATCAATAAAATCTTGAAACCAAATAAAGAATCAAGTTTTCAAAATATTTGGACCTGTTATTTGGACCTGTTATAAACAATACTAAAGAGAAACCCCCAAAAATATAATAAAATTCACATAAAAGTATGATCAGAATGACTTTAATGTTTCTTATTTATCCAAATTTATGAAACTCATTTCAATCAATGGTTAACCATTTTAATCAAACTTTATTTTTTTTCCCATGATTTGTTCATCTTGTGTTTAACCTTTAATGTGCTATACTTATTTGGGGGTGGCTAAAGCCGGGTCGGGTCCCGGTGACTAATAAATTGTGACAAAATAAGAAATCACATACCGAAAAAATTAAGTCCCCAGAATACTTTTTTGCGAGTCACGGGATCGAACCCGGCTTAAAGTTAGCAATCTGTAGATCGGGATGACTATATATACAGTGTGACAAAAAAAACGGAATTTTTATATATAAATTTAAAAATATATGTAAAATTTTGATACTAACAACTTTACTTAGAGTCATTTGACCACTTATCATAATAAAATATTTCATAATTGTCAATTTTTTAATTAAGAAAATTTAGTAATAAAAATATTTTAAGAAAAATTATAATTAGTTAATATATAAATTAATTTAAAGAAATTTATATTTTATATTATAATATATTTTAATTTTAATTTTAATTTTAATGTTTATAATATATTAAATTATTAATTAATAAATAAAATATTTTTGACTTTATAATAAACTTTTTTAAAAAAAAATTTGTATTTAAAATGTAAATTACAAAATATTTTATTAAAATAAGCTATCTAATAATTCTAATTAAATTTTTTCATTAGATTTTTAAGTAAATATCTTTAAACTTTTGTATCATTTAAATAGATATTTATCAAATAAATACAAAAATAGTAATTCTGGTTTTTTTTGTAATACATTATATATACAAATTGAAAATTGAAAATTGAAATTATTAAAATGCAAAAAAAAATTTAAATGAATAATCAATATAAGTTTTCATTAAAATAATAATGAATTATATTTGCTCTATAATTAACCTAGACCCCTGAAAAAGAAATTTTCAATGGTTTTAATTTATGTTTTATATTTATATACACAAAATATATTTTCAAAATGAATAATAATAATAACAAAGAATATTTTGAAGAATCACATATTAGTAAATACTTTTCAATAGTAAATAATTATATATTTAATATCAGTTTTTAATTTTTTATATAATTTCAGCACGTTTAACATTTTTTTATTCTTAACGAACAAAATATTAAAAATCGAACAATATTCTTAGCTAAACAAATTATAATTGATGAGTTACATCAAGAGTTTAAAGTAAGGAATCATTTGCAATATATGTTTTATAACAGATTCTTTTATTTTTACTGATTAACCTTTATTAAATTTTTTTACATTATATATAGTTCATGCTATATAGATGTTGGTGTTAAGTGATTCTACTTTACATAGTGGAAGCTATAGTTATTTCAAGAAAGGAAGAAATAGGTATAAATTTGGTTAGCTTCATGCAAGAATTATAGGGCTGTTTTTATTTATATTGCGATACGTTACTAAATGATAGCCAGCTGAAAATGATCAACTAAGAAACATACTGAACGCACTCCTTGCTAAACAAACACTAGGACCTCTTCCAAGATCTTTTAATTAAAGTGGCTGAAAAATGTATACTACTCAATGCAGTCTTTATGGAATTTTTCAGAAGGTTCATGCTATACCCGCCCAAAACCTGAGGTTCTGAATTGTGTGTAAGTAGACTTATTCAACTAAACTATTTTTTTAAAATCCTCTACTGTTCCTATATTTATATTAATATTAATATCAATATTGATAGAAACAACAGTTATTTATATGTGATTTTTTTTTAAAAAAAAAATTAGGACTGAATAATTATGATTAATAATTTAAAATAAATAAAAGAATTTATCAAAAACATATACTGCGGTAATAAAATTCCTGTTTCATCTGATAATTTCAACCAAAGAATGATCTGATCTCGATCTAACCTAAAACTGCCTAAATCAAATAAATAAAATGAAATAAATAAAATTAGTAATTAAATTAATTACCAAAATAAAAAAAAAAATAAAACAATAAATCAAAAAAATTAATTAGCTCACCTTAGCCGTGATAATAAATCAGTCAATTCCATTTGAAGGTTCTATCCAGTTCTTAGCTTACTAATCAAACCTAAAAAAAGCAAATTAATTACTAAAATAAGAAAAAAAAAAAATCAAAAAAATTACTTACCTTAGTCACAGTAATAGAACAGATGGTTCTATTTTAAAGATTCCATCCAATTATTAGCCAAAGCAAAAAAACTAATCAAACCTAAAAGTAAATAAATAATTTAAAAAATTATTAATAATAATTCATTAAAAAAAAATTATTATATATAAAAAGAAAATCAATGGCTACCTTCGCTGCGATAACGGACTGGTCAGATCTATTTCAAAAGTTCTATCATTAAGTAAAAAGCCTGATCAAACCTAAATAGATAAAAAAAATAAAAAAATATTAATAAAAACAATTTAATAAAAAAAAAAATATTGACAGCTTTATCTTTGCCATGGTGATAAACCAGACGATTCTGTTTTGAAAGTTCTATCCCTAAGTAAAAGGCCTAATTAAACCTAAATAAATTAAAAAAAAAACAAATAAAAATAAAAATATTAATAAAAAAATTTAATAAAATAAAAAAATAATAAAAAAGAAAGAAATATCAATGGCTTTACCTTTGCTATGGTAACAGACCGGTCAGTTTTATTTTGAAGGTTCTGTCTCTAAATAAAAGGTCCAATCAAACCTAAATAGATTTAACAAAACAAATAAAAATAAAAATATTAATAAAAATATTTAATAAAAAAGAAAATAAAAAAATTATGTTGGCTTACCTTTGCTGCAGTGACAATCCGGTCAGAGTTATTCAAAATTATCTTAAAGATAATCAACAGAAAGTTGTAGGTGGAGTTTTATTTGCATTATTTTTACTGTACAGCTACAAGATATGCACCTTTAAATTCCTTCTTAAATTATTTGCAATACTCTATTTCTTACTATGCTTAAAGTGATTTATATATTAGAGCTATATACAACATTAGGAATTCCTAAATTAATGAAATGAGTTACTTTTTCTAGAGCATTTCCTAATTCTATGGCTATAGAACTTTAACCAAAGCTTAAGAAGGCAAGCTTTGTCAAAGAAATTTATGAACTTCTTAAACCTTTTGTGAATTCTACAATAATTAAATGTCCTATTATTATAATTGACGCTAAAGAGAATAAAGCATTTGGTTTAAAAATTATAAAAGAAACTGCTAATGATTATGGTGTTAGATTTAATATTATTGGTGATGCTTCTCATAGCATTATGTTAGACTTTATATGGGAGGATGCTGCTAATATTATTTTTAAAAGGATTCAAGAAAAAGTTGTAAAGAAATAATTTTTAGTAAATTAACTCAATAGCATGCATATGTTTCTCAATCATTATTGTACCATTCATATCTTTATTATTCTATTATTTAATTCCATAAATAAAAAAGTTTTTATAAGATTAGATTTAAAATAAATAATGATTCAAGTCCTAAAATTATCAAATTTCATAAATAATACAACCTTATAATTATGTTGCAAATATTGCATTTATTTACGTAAAATATATTTGTTCATATATAATATTTTAAGAAGTAATCTGACAGGATATAATAAATAAAGCATTGAACCTATCTTGTCATTTCAAGTTAAATGTTATCAATCCATTTATACAATTAATTATTTTTTGTAATGATTGATTGATTATTCTATCCTGTTAAAATATTCTTAAATATAAAAGAGAAACCACTACAATATCAACTTTCGAATGAATAATATCGATATTAAAATTTTCAGATTTATATTAAACTTAGAATAAAAATAACTACTAGAAATGATTTGAATCGATTAGATAATTTTTGAAGTATTGTATTTCAATAAATAATTCATAATAAAAATTACAAGTAAAGAAAAGGTTATAAAAAGTTTCGTAATAAAAGTTAGAGTAAAATTTTATAATGTTTAAAATATTATTTCAAATTATCTAATATTGTAATTTATCAAATTTAAAAAATTTTTGATCCTTAAAATTTTATTTTATAGCATTACGATAATGAAATTTATTACATCAAATCATTTTTTGAAAGATGTATATATAATTTAACACTATATACAAATTATGTCATATAGATGTTAGATAGATAGTAAGATAAAGAACATGATCAGATATGAACGATATTTTCACGTTCGCATTATTTCTAGTAATCTTTAGAATAGCAATATTTTAAGTATAGTTTATGAAGTGATATGTCTTTAAATAATATAACATTGACAGCTTATCTTTACTGCAGTAATGAATCAGACAGTTCTATTTAAAGGTTTTATTTAGTTTTTAGCCTAAGTGGAGGAACTGATCAAACCTAAAAAAATTAAAATATTAAAGTAAAATTTTATTAAAAAAAAATAAAATAAAAATTAAATAACAAATAATAAGGCTGACTCTAGCTGGTCATGATTATGAATCTAGATATTCCAACAAATTTAATAAAGATACTTATAAATATTAAATAAAATATATATGTTACTTTTAATATTAATTAAGATCAGCCCCTGGCCGATCATGAATAAAAATCTAGTTTTTACCAAGAAAATTATTATAATTAAGTTATTTTTCTTTGTAAAAGAATAAAAATATATTATCTTATTTGTTAGAAGAAAAATGATTTTTGAAGTGAAAAAAATTAAATCAGAAAAAATTTATCTTTTTAACAAATATTAAAGTCATATAACTATTATTTAAATTATTTTAGTAAACTGAGTATTATTAAAAGTTTTTATTAAAACTAATA